ATGCATATTTAGCAACTAATACCATTCAATCATTTGATTTAACAACGGTTTCATTTTTGAATAATATTTCAATGACTACTGGAACTGATATTAAAATGGGAACATCGGAAATATCAACTTATCATGATGGAACTAATTTATCTACAATTGATGTAATATTCAGAACATCAAACACTGCGTTTAGAGTTTCAGATGCTTCAAGTACACCTTCAGTTTTATTATCTATTGATAAGACATTTGGAACTACAGTAAATACTGAAAGTTTTACAAATAATGCTCCATCGACTTTTAATGAAAATGTAACAGTTGCAGGAACGAAAAAAATGTTGTGTAATTTAATTGAACCATCAACAGGAACTAATATAGATTTAACAGCATCAACAGTAACCATAAATGGAACGTTTGTTGATTCATCTGATTCAAGATTGAAATATGATATAGACAATGTCAAATCTAATTGTATGAATATTATTAAGAAATTTAAACCGAAGAAGTTTAAGAGACACGATAGAAATGATGGCGGTAAAACTCATATAGGATATATAGCAGATGAAGTATTAAAAGCAATCCCGAAAGAATTTGAAAATGTTGTTAGTAAAGACAGAGATTATTTAGGATTGAATTATTTAGTTTTACCCGTGCTAGTTCATAAAGCAGTGTTAGAATTAAATGATAAAGTAGATAAACTTGAAAAAGAAATTAAGGAATTGAAAAAAGAAAAATCTAAATAAATAATTAAATATAAATATATAAATATATAAAACAAATAAATAAATAATTAAATAAATAACTATTACATATAGATATATGGACATTGACAGGAAAGTTAAGATAAAAGTATTATTTCAAAATGATAGTATGAGAGAGAAAATTTGTTACTGTGGTTGTAGAATTGCTAAGTTAAATAAAGATGAATTTACATTAGATAAATGTAATAATAAAGAATGTAATTTTAGTCATTCTAAATTTGATGAATATATTAAAGAGTTAAAAAGACAAAGACGAGAAGAGGAATTTGACAGACGAGTGGTGAAGTGTGATAAAATATGTGCTCCTTTTATACAGTTGTTTTGTTGGCCTATTCTAATTCCTTTGAATATTTATTATTGTATTGTATACCTTTGAATATTTATTATTATATTATAATCTAAAATAATAATATATAAATGGGTAATTCGAACAGTAGTATTGAAACTTCAAGTATTGATAAAATTAATGATATTGATGTAGAACAATTAGATTTAAGTAATATTGATAAATTACAATTAAAAGCAATTAAACAAATGAGTGAAAGATTAGAAAAACTGGAGAAAGTAAAATGTGACAAATTAATATATAAATTACCAGCGTTAAATTTGTGTAGTTATAGTTTGTTCTGAATTAATAATATTAAACGTTATTAACATTATTAATTAAACAAATATGAATAAAATTTACTAATAAAACTTTGTCTTTCATAATTGATGACTTTAATAGTTATTTTTTTAACTTGTAATGAAAAAAAATTAACCATATTACGGCTATACGTTAAATTAGTTTCATAAAGGTCTTTATTAAGAAAATAATAAATATCAAATAAATTATTTGATGTTAAAGTACGATTACGAACATGATTCAAACAAGTAAATGAGGTAGATGTAGCTAATATATCGTATTCAATTAATAATTTTAATGGTTTATGATTTTGAAGTAATTTACCTAAGTCACTTAAGTTAAAAATATATGATATACCATTATTAATATTGATATTATCAATTTCAAAATATTGCATATTATTTAATTTGTAAGACTTATACACTGGTTTAAATTTATTAATATATTTTTTAATAATATTATTATTTTTTATTTTTATTAATCTAACATCATCTAAAATATACGATATTAAAATGTTTTTAATTTCTATTGGTAAATAATAAAACATCATATAATATTAATATATTTATTTTTTTAATTAGTAATTTTCAAATATTGAGAAAACTTTTTCATAAACATTTTATCTGGATTCTTTTCTAAAAGGTTAATATATAAAAAACTATGCGGTTCATCAGTGGCAGTCTCATATAGTTTATAAATTAGTTTCTTGCTTTCGTGTAAATTATCGCTTCTAACAATTGCTGATAATTCATCTTGCAATATTTCTATCTCTTTGAAGTTTCTAACTTTATAATAAAACAAATGACTTATATTTACTCTAATAATTGGTGGGACACTTGATGATTTCTGAAGACTGACAAGCGTTGATATTCCACTATGACGACCTCTACAAAATAAAGAATTTAACAATTTGTTATTTCTTGTTATTGCTGGATTATCAGATACATCATCCAATATACTAATATATTAAATAACTTCTTCATTCCTTGTTTTTTCTGATATTCAATTATTTTATTTTGAGTTTCTATAACTCTTTCTAAATCTTCAACATTGAACTCATCCCACCAACACGGTTCTTTATCAGTATCTACTTTCAAACCTTCTTTAATGTATTTTTTGACAGGCAACCAAATACTATCCAAATTTACAGATGGGGACCAGATAAAAACTCTTTCAAATGCTCCTCTATAAATATCAAGTATCATTGATACAAGTAAAGTTGATTTTCCAGAACCAGACGGACCTACAATCATCGCTCTCATCGGCAATTTAGGGACGACCTCGTGCTTACTTTGCTTAAAGTCATATTTGATTTCATCAATTGGTTTTACATCAGGCATAATAAAAATAATATTAAAGACATTTAGAAAATAATTTAATATTTATTATTTTATATGGATAGAAGATATTCAGATTATATCAATATAATAAACGAAGTACAACATATAGAAGATGTTGTTATAACTGATAATAGATTTAAGAAAGTATGCTATTTTGTTTTAGAATTAATTAAGTTTGTGATACAATATATTAAAAATATAAATATTAATATAGATGGGGAGAAAGAAAAAGAATAAGACTGAACCAGTTGTTTCTTCAACTGATGAAGAAATTGTTAAAGAAACATCAGTTATTGAGTTTGCTTGTCCAATGTGTAAAAAAATCTTAGAAATGAAGAATGAATTAGAAATACAAAAGAAAGGAAACTGTAAATGTTCGTGTATTCCGACAAGTTTCAAAATAAGTAGAAATGATAAGAAAATGAATATTGATAAAACTAAAGACAGTATAAACTTAGAAACAGATGTTCATAATATTGCTATCAAATGGGGAAGGCATGCATCACCAACCGATAATGGTGATAAGGAAACTCAGGAAACTATAAAACAAATGATGAAAAATTAGTATTTAAAGAGTAGATTTAACATAATTGCAACATTTAGTTTTAAACGTTTAGTTTTATAATTTAGTATATATTTACATGGATGAAGGATTAGAAAAGATTGTGAAAAAACTGAATAAGGTTTTAGAACAGAATAAGAATATTTTAGAAATCTTGCAAGAAATGGAAAAGAAGAAACCAGTAACAAACAGTTATCAAAGTAAAGAAGTAGATAGAACCAATGGGGAATATAAAAATAAAAGAAATATTTATTTAAACAAACTTAATAACAAAGAAATTAAAGAACCGAAGGCTTCAACTATGACATTTTATCAAATTGACTATGACGAGGAAACGCAACTTTATTCATAAAGTTGTATTTACTCATAGATAATATTATCTAAATATCTTTAATAATGAACTTATTAGAGATGTTTAGCGGAACAGGCAGTGTTGGACTTGTTGCAAAGTCGCTCGGTTTCAATGTTATTTCATTGGATTTGAAAAATGCTGATATAAATACTGATATTTTGAAATGGGATTATAAACAATTTGATAGGAACCATTTTGATTTTATTTGGAGTAGTCCCCCATGCACTGAATATAGTGTTAGCAAAAACTAGGGGAATTAGGAATATCGAATATGCAAATAGTATTGTCTTAAAAACTATTGAAATTATCAAATATTTCAATCCTAAGTATTTTGTAATCGAAAATCCTCAAACTGGATTATTAAAAAATCAGGAGTTTATGGATGAGTTTGATTTTAAAGATGTAGATTATTGTAAATATGGATTTAATTACAGAAAACGCACTAGGCTATGGAATAACATTACAACTTGGAAACCTAAAGATTTATGTAAAAAGGATTGTGGCAACATCAGGAATAATAAACATATTGAAACAGCACAACGGCTACCATCGGGCACTAAGGAAAAATGGGGAGACAATCCAATAATACATAAACAGGAAGACCTATATAAAATACCCAGCGAATTAATCTGTGAAATCTTGGTGAGTTTGACGGATTAAGGATTTTTGAGTTTGGGGTTGGGCTTGAAACTTGAAATTTCTAGGTTCATCCAACGACAAAACAGTAAAAAATGGAATTCTAAAGTTTGAAAAGTATTGATTTTTAAGGGAATAATCCATAGTTTATCAAATTTAGAAAACACCAATATTCATATAGATATATCAGGAAACTCTTGCCAATCGCCAAACAGGGCAGGGAAAAATTGGCGAGAGTTTCCCCTTATATATTAATATAAGTATATACCCCGCCCCAGAAAAAAAGAAGAAAAAAAAAACACCCCTCCCAACGAAGTCCTTACCTAGTAGGGCTCGGTCTCGTAGGCAAAGAAGACGATGAAGATACCTGGCACAGATGAAGGTACTATCACATAAAAAGGCAAGGGGGAAGGGGAATCAAACTACTTGAACTTACGCACATTGCTGTCGCTTGACCAGTGGACATGTCTTGTCAGTGTCAAAAGTAGCATTCACTTTTTTCACCTCACTGCGCATGCTTCGTGAAATTGGCATGTGCCAATACTTCTTGCATGATGGAAGCACAAACAAAGGCGAAAGCCACATTTAGGTTGCTGAATCTGACATGCTGGACTCTGAATCTGACATGCTGGATGCTGAATCTGACATGCTGGATGCTGAATCTGACATGCTGGATGCTAGATTTGAGATGTGTGGAAGGTGCATTCCATCACACGTGACCCTTGTATGATACATCCTAGTCGGACATCTGCACATTCTGCAACTGTGCCAATGCCAACTTGACAGCATGAGCATTGCTCACTGCCTCTTTGATTTTGTCAATGTCGTGTCCGTAGCGCTCATCCAAGTCCTTTTTGGTCAAGGTGCGAAGGGCTTCAGTTGATGAAATCAATTTCTCTTGCAAAGAGTGGATGACCTTGTAGTAGTCCATGTGCTCGCATAGCCCATGCACCTTCATGGTTGTAGTGGACTTTGTCTTCAGAAACTCCTTCATGTCAAGAAGGCTCTTCTCGCTTGCCATCTTCAAGACCTGCTCAAAGTTGATGCAAGTGGCTTTGGTGATTTCCAAACAAGTGTCATAAGCCTTCTTGAAGTCGTCCATGTCAGTCACCGCCACCGTCGTAGTTGATGAACCGCTCAACTTGACCATGTGCTTCTTCACTGCCATTTTGCCACCACCGCGGAGACGGAGATGCAATGTCACATGCATTTCCACACTGTCCTCTTCCATGTAATCTTTGATGCTCTTGTAGACGTCCATAGCCACGTCGCCTGTCAGCAAGTAGAAGTCATCTTCTGTCAGCACCTTCTTGTTGTTGGGCTGTTTCTCGGCGATGTGTTTGCAGATGTTGGACTTCAATGCCGAAACCTTGCCATTCACATCTGCCTGAATGTCAAAGAGTTTGCGTCCACGATACTCTGACAGGCAAATCTTGAGTCCATACTCATCGACCTCGTCAAAGTCACCGGGGTCACAAAGGTAAGCCTTGTCAAACTGATACTCACCATCCTCATCCAACTGGATGAAGTCACTGATGCTCACACTCTCGGCTTCACTCTTGCTGGTCTCATCCTCCAAAGAGTCGCCCTTGTTGGACTTGGAAGCAATTTCGCCTGTCATGACCTTGACAAAGAACTGGTCATCAGGATTGAGCAACTCAATCACAACGATGTCATTATCCTGCATGCCGATTGATGCCAGCGACTGCATACTCACTGTGAGATACTTCCCCTTGTGGCACAGAAGGCGCTTGAAGTTGTAGTCTCCAGTGCGTAGCCCTTCAAGAATTGACAATCCAAGTGTTTCAATTGACACATGGTTCTCAATGTCAATCTCAAAGGAATCACCGTCCAGCGAGTTGGGGGTGTCCCTCTTGTCAATGACATTCACCCGCAAGGAAAGGCTCTTCGCAAGGCTTGGAGTAGCAGGTGCTTCCGAACTGCTGGCAGGGGCATCAATGACATTTCTTGCATTGGCTCTGGCGACGACCTGCTGGTGGTGAGTAGAGACAATCATCTCAACGATGTCAGACTTGGTCATGCTTTTGCGATTGACACGCAAGCCCAACATGCTCAAAGTGTCATGCAACTCATCTTTCTTCAAGCCCATTAGCACACTCTTCATCTCCTCCGATGAAGATGCCTCGCACACATCCAAGTGGTTTGCCGACACCACACTGCCGGACTTAAGCACCACTGGCTTAATGTTCTCACCAGTCTTCACAAAGAGCAATGCCATGCCGAAGAGATGCAAACTGAAGCGGTCAAAGGCTTGGACACTCAAAATGCTTTGAGAACCGGTTTGACCATTGAGCAAACACAAGGCGCAAATGAAATGCCACACTGCAGAAGCAAAATACATGTCGGGGCACTAGATAAAGAGGATGTAGACGATGAAGCCAAGCACATGCAGGGCGACGGTTGCCCCAGAAACCCCAGAAAACCATCCTATACTATGATTATAACATGTAAAATCTTATATGTTATAATTATACTGTACTTATAGTTTGTAAAGATTGAAATATTTCATTTTTTCTTGATTTGGCTGACTCTTTCAAAGTGCGTTGTTTGAACTTGGTATGCTCTTTTGATTTTTTCGTGCTTTGGTTGTTTGTATTTTATTTTGTTTGATACTCTTCTGATATTTTTTGATGGTATGTTGCTTTGTTTTTGTTAATGTGTGGTTTTGAGTTTGTGTTCTTTGATGGTTTTTATTTTTGCTGTTTTGTTGGTATGCTTGTTTGAATTATTTAATGTTTTATGCTTTGATTAAATATTTTGTTGGGGGTTGTTCTGGTTTTTGAGTTGCTTGGTGGTTCTTATCTTGTTTTCTGTGAATTTTGCCGATTTTGTTGTATGCTGTTTGATTATTTGGTTTTGATGCTACAAGTGCCATTTTATGTATTTTTTTCCCCCCCCCCCCCAAAAAAAACCTACGTAATAGACGTCGTGCGGGGGGGGGTTAGGGGGGGGGTTATCCTCTATCCTCTAGTAAGTATCCGACACGCCGAGCAATGTCGGCGGATATGTATGTACGTACGTATGTAATGTATGTATGTATGTATGTATGTAGGTATGTAGGTATGTAGGTATGTATGTATGTAATGCATGTATGTATGTATGTATGCATGCATGTATGTATGTATGTATGTTTGTATGTAATGTATGTTTGAATGTATGTATGTATGTATGCATGCATGCATGCATGCATGCATGCATGTATGTATGTATGTATGTATGTATGCATTTCCCGCAAAAAAAACACGGTTTTTCCAGCGTTTTCGCAAAGAGGACGCCCAAAAACATTGAGTTTTTCCAGATTTTCGTTAAAAGGATGCAGGAAGCCCAAGCCAGCAAAAAAGCCGGCAGGGGGAATCGAGCCTGGGACCCCTGTTTTGCGACACCGGCTCCCCGAAGACTACGTTTAGTGGAACGTCATCAAATTGCCGCGCGGTACGTGGGGGACCCCCCCCCCAAAAAAAAACCTACGTAATAGACGTCGGGCGGGGGGGGGGTTAGGGGGGGGGGTTATCCTCTATCCTCTAGTAAGTATCCGACACGCCGAGCAATGTCGGCGGACATCCACTAGAACAAGAACAAGCAGATCATGACAACAATGAAGAACTACCTCAGGATGTGAACGACACCTTGGACTGGTACTACGAAGGCGAAGAAGGACAACACGAGGTGAACCACATGGAGGAGAACTGGAACGACTACGACTATAACAACAGCTGGGATTGGAATGACAACAGCTATGAGGACACAGCAAACTACATTGGAGGCATCAACGACACATCAGACAAGCAAAGTCACGACTACACAAGCCCAAATCCAAATCACTACTTGGCAAGAAAACAACACACACAACATCCTGGAACGACCGCAGCAAGAGCGTTCAACAGTTCCTGCAAGAAGACACCACACAGCTACACATCGACATAGCAGCAGCAACACAACAGCAAAGGAACAAGAAGATTGAGGACACCTTCACACACTACATCATGTACTCCAACTTCAAGTCATACCACCACCTGTTGATCGACTCAGGAGCATCTACACATGTTTGTCCGAAGGACTGCGCGCCAGACCTACCACTACGACCTTGTGGAGAATCAGTTCCACAACTCTACACGGTTACCGACAAGAAGGTTCCTGTCTACGGCATCAAGTATGTTCCCTACAAGCAGGACAACTTCAGGATCATGATGCCCTACTATGTTTGTGATGTGAAGTATCCAATCCTCAGTGCATCAAGGCTACTTGATAGAGGATATGGACTCGACTTCAATCCACGACAGTGCACCATCACGCATGGGCAGCAACAAGCGCACCTCATAAAGATCGACATCCCTACAGGATTCGACATCTACCCAATGATTACAGACAATGGAAAACGCATTGCTGTGATTCAACCTACAGAGAAAGCAACACAACAACAAGAACAAATTGCACCACTACACCCACACAGACCAAGGACTGCGACAGATCCTTGGTGGAAACACTGACTACTGGAAACTTGATGGTGACTACGCCATCCAAACGACCACGCAAAGCACTGTTCACACCACACAACAGTGGCTGCCCAATACCAGAAGGAGAACTAGATGATTGGCGACAACCATCATCAACAGACAAGGGCAAGAGCAAGAACAACTACAAGAGAACCCAACACAACTTTCCAAGCAAGAGCTACAACGACTAGAAGGTGACAACTGGACTAGAGAAACCAGATTCAGAAGAAAGATAACACCTACACGCAGAGCAACTACGAGCGAGCAATCTGCGAATTTGGCAAGACACTACTTTACCTTCCACCACAACACAAGAAACTTCCAAAAGCAGACCTACAGACGCAGAAATGCATCTGGCTCGGAAAAGTTTCCGAAACCGGAGAAGACTACGTCGCAACGGAATCAGGCGTACAAAAGGTACGAACAGTACGGGGACTACAACCTGACTTCAAATACGACCCCGCACTGTTGAACAAAGTTTCCAGCACACCATGGGCACCACGACGGAACACCTACCGCAGATGGTGGAACATCCTTGACTCGGCACTTCGTTCATACGGACTGGTGCCAACCCGGGCAGACCGTTGTACATACGTGTACTACGGCAAGCAGCTTCCGAAGCCCGCGTTGGTGAGTGAAAAGAAGTCATCCAATACACTCGATCTTGAAGGAGCAGTTGATTACCTCATGGACCCCGTTTCCGGTAACAACGCCAACAATCGACAAGTTCATGGAGCACTTTCTCTTCATGTAGATGATCTTCTTATGACCGGGGATGGCGTGTTTGAGGAGGAAATCATGGGACGACATTGTAAAGATTTTCAAGTCAGTTCAGAAGACAAGAATGATTGCCTTTTCGTAGGACAACGAATCCAATGGAAGCATGACGACAAGCACGGTTGGTACATTAATGTCCACCAGAACGTTGCCATCGACGAACTTCAGGAGATCGCCTTTGACAAGTATCTAAAGGATGATGCGCCACTCACTCCTCAAATGCATACTGCTTACAGAAGTCTCTTAGGTCAGGTCAACTGGTTACAATCGCGAACACAATTCGACATTGGTTATCAATTCTCCAGGTGTGCGTCCAAGGCATCATCACCAACCATTGAGGACGTTCGCGCCAACAACAAGACAGTCAGACACGTATGAGATTCTGGCCCCTTTGTGGAAAGACCCGAATAGTAGGTTACATCCTATCGCAATAATGAAGACAAGTCATCCCAACGTGCACATGTTATCTTTCTTGCAGAACAGGGAGATCTTCGCCAGGGCTCATCGAATTCGAGAATTAGGAGACGCACAAGATCACCGCTACAACCATGTCCACAACTGTTGCTGAATTGCACGGACTGGTGCGTTGTTACGGCTCATCCTTATTTCTTCGCGGACTCTGGACAAATGCACGATCTCGCGCATGTGCGAAGCGAGGACTGCCTAGCAGACTCGCTGACAAAACACTCTGCGAAGGCAGATGAGCTTATCAAAGCAGTATTGACAGGCAACCTCATGAGTGTGGACGCTCGTCCACCATTCCGCACCATGTTGCAGTACAAAGCATTTTTGGTTGAGTGGCTAGCGCGCGACACAAAGCACGGACCCGACATAAGTGCACAGAATCCATGTTTGCTTATTGGGGAACCTGGGCATGATCCACATGTCCATGAATTTCAATGCATGAATGATCCACATGTCCATGAATTTCAATGCATGAATTCTCCATTTTAGTGGTTTTCAATCCCTCAATGCCGTGATGAGTATTTTGACCTTTCTTGAATCTCAAGAAATATGTGTCTGCGTCCGCAGCCAATTTGGTTTACATCCCATCCGGCCTTTTGCGAGCGTGTATGTTCAATTCGATTGACAACGGCACGCCGCTCCTTGCAAGCATTTCGGAAGCAGTAAGTCAAAGCCATCCACTCCGAAGACGGCTGGAAAGAGACAAGCATTTCCTCTCAAAGATTCACCTGCCCCGAGTGATGACGATGATGAATCATCCGACTATGTCATGGGTGAGATCAACGATGAGAAGGACTCGAAATCCGATCTCCCCGAAGAAGACGACATCCAGATGGAGATTCCGACGCCGATGGGTCTCGAGGAAAGACCAAGGCAGAAGGCAATGCCCAGTGCCACCACTGAAGCTGACACCGAAGGTCAAGGCACAACCGTCCAAGACCTTGGACGATGAGACGGAATCCGACAATGCCAAGCATCAAAATGCAGACCGGCCACCTTTGCCAAGACGACCGACGATTAAGTCACCTCCTGCATCCATTGATCACTCAAAGTGGACGAATTACGACGCGCCGGCCAGGTTGGAGTCATGCTTCTGAAAGAGACCTCGAATCCTTCGCCATTCTGGAACAGCAAGTTTCTGAGCTTCGTGCAGCAGTACTACCATGAGTGTAGCACCATCCAACAGAAACAACCAGACTTCGACTATGTTCCTGAGCACTTGCGAAGACCCCACCAGAAGCCATGTTGGTTGAACACCAAACTCAATGACTTGTGGGAACCAACCATCCGTTCAGAGGACGCCCAAGGAGAGAAGGCTTATATGACCTACATCAAGAAGATTTTACAGCACGTGTTGCTTTGTCAATGACGATCCCAAGAAATTCAGTACCGAGGTCATTCCACTGGCGTCCCGCAATGGGCAGATCAACATGGACAAACTATTCTCAACGCCGCATCCGTTGATGCGAAGCCAATTGTCCACTTCATCCTTTGGAGAGTGGAGAGATCCTGAAGAATCGCGTCGCCAACAGGGACACCGCCCCATAAGTTCGGTGCAGATTTACAGTCGGGGCGACACCATTGAAAGCATTTGGGTGCAATCGCAAATCGCATCCGCACTCATCCGGGGTTGGCGCCCCACTTGACCGCAGTCACGCGGCGGCGCCCAGTTTTCCAGCCTATTTTCGGTGGAAGCTGACCCTGTGCCAGACAGCTTTGCATTGCATGCCTTGCATTCAGAGCTTCAGATGTTCATGTCGTGCGCGAGAACAGCAATCGCACGCCTGCGCCGCTGATCCAGAAGCATGTGAGCAGGTTGTTCTCCGAATGTCTTCGACACAATTTTTCGAGAAGGACAAGAAATGAAAAGGGCAATCCGGAGCGAACTCTATGAGGCATTGTGCACGATCACCCATGCGAGAAACAAACCAGGCGTATTCCTGATGACTATGCTTCCACTCTTTGGAAAATCCCTACACGAGACAGCATTCGTATATCCGAAGTTTGATGGAACATACAAGGAACGAGAAGCAAGGAATGAGATTGTCCCAAGAGACCGATGGATTGACAGCATCGCACCCAAAGCCGCATACCATGCACTCAGGCCTGATGGCAAGGCATTCTTCAACGGCAATGGCATGGAGCTCTATGTGAGATGCAACAGTGCTCATACACGGTATGTTGAGTTGGAGACCATTGGAAGACCCTTGTGGAAGCATCAGTACACTTGGGAAGAGCCATCCTACGATTTGCCCAGTTCATCCAAGCATTGTGATCAAGACCATGAAGATGAGAGCACGGCGAATCCAAAATCCATCGATCAGGACAGGAAGATTGTTCCATTCAGGAAGAAGGCCGTCACATGCTACCTATGGAAGCCAGATAGAGAGCATCATGCAGCAAGGTGTCAGGCCAGGAAGCACTCACACCCCTCAGAAAATAACATGTTCACGTGGCATGCGTCGACGACATCATCTACGATGGCGAGGGATTAGGCGCAGCGCTGACCCATGTCCCCAAAGGACGCGATGCTTTGTTGATCCTTGCTTTTACACGAGACAATCATTACAACATCCGAATCGCTGAAGAACGAACCGCTTTGTCAGAACATACCATCGAACCATGCAGCATAATCGCAGCATTCGATACCGATGGACAGCCCCTGCGCAGCAGTTACTGGATGATGAAAAAGAAGCTCGACCAAGATGACCAAGAGCAATGCGAATCCAAGATCCAGGAGTTTGCAGAGCATTTCTTTGAGCGCATTGACAAGGACATTTTCCGCGACAAGCGCAACAAGTACCAATCTGAACAAGGGCAATCCAGCGAGACCAAGAAAAGACGACGCTCGACAGATCAAGATGAAGAAAGCATGAGCACAAAGGCAGTCAAGATCAAGGTCATCGTGGAACCTCCTCATCCGGCCAATTTGACGGAATTCAATTGGTAATTTCAGAACATCTATTTGGGCCAAGATATGACCAAGATCGACGCCGCAGCAGAGTTCCTCGACATTCAGAAATCATTCGCCAAGGAAGGTACATGCAGACCTGACTGATTGCGAATTGAGATCTTTGGCGCACGTGAATCGAGATGAGAACATCGAGGACGAAGAGTTCTATTTCGAGCGCGCGAGTACACATCCGACCATGGAAGAGTTCAGAGCAGCACAGGACCCTCCGGGGGTATCCACTCAAACTTCCAATCGGACTCAAGAAGTTGAAGTGCAACGATGAACCTGATCTCATCAAATCATTCACGGACATCCTGGGATCTTTGATGCAAGGAACTGATGGCCCCATTGTCGACTACCTCAAGAGAAAAGATTATCCACCCACCATTTCACTCAACATCCTGACAGTGAATCACGGGAACCTCACAAGGAATCCGAGACTGGATAATCCTGAACTCCAGCAATGGCCAATCAAGCACCGACCGCTCATCATGCAGATGGTGCAGAACAGTGCAAACATCCTTTGCATCAATGAGGCAGATCCGTTCTACTACTCGGATGATAAAAAGACCATCGACCTCATCAAACTGTTCATCAAATGCGGCTACAAGAGCATCGTTCTCAAGCTATGGTCATCCAAATCCATCGCACGCTTTGTCCGAGGCGGTAAGCGCGCCAGAGTCGAATTATTGGCGCGATACATTTCAATCAAGAGCCAATGTTGGAGTGCTACATTCGGCATGTTCAGACGCTTCTTCCGACTCGAGGAAGGTTGCATTGATCCGGACTACGATACTCCCACATCCGACTGCCTGGCATCCACCGGAACATGCATGTACGACAATAAGGAGAAGTACGTTGGAAAGAGATTGACGCCGCGCACCGCCGTTCAATGGCATGGCAAGAACTGTGACATTGGCGTCACCCATATCGAGCAGAACAATGAGATCCGTGGAGCATTTCCGAGATCCACCGAAGATCCTGTTCTATCCTACGACACACGCCATGTTACCCGAGCTGATCTTCCATTTGCCACCATCGGAGTATTCCATATCCATCCGAACATCAGCCACGGTGCAGCAAGAGAAGACATGCAGAAAGGTATCATGCCGCTCGTTACGGAATACCAGTGCGATATGATCACAGGTGATGCCAACAAATCCGCGAACGCGTTAAGCAAGCTGCAATCCGTCTACAATCCTGAAAACGGCCTCATGCGCCACATCATGGGGCATTTCAAGAGAACTTGGAATGAGACACAAGATTTGCACCGAATGGAGTTTTCCATGTCTACTTCATGCGCAATCAAATCCATTGCTCGCCATCATCTCCATACAAAGACAGGTTCAGGATACGCCCGGACGTTTCCAGATTGTATGATGACTTTCGTATTCAGTTGGGGAAAGACCAACATCCAACAAGAATTTCGTCATTCCGAGCTTGCCACACTCCATGAAGAGACGTTGGAATCCATGACAGACGATTTTGACAAGGCCATCTCCGACTACAAGGTCACATCCGCCGAGCGCTACAAGCGCATCAATAATGAAATGCTAATGCTTGGACAATGCGGTTCAGATTCTCACATCCCATTGCTGGTCTATGTCCGCAGCCTCGCAGCTGATCAGGAAAGAACTCTCAGCCGCAAGAGGGAGTTCATCCAGAACAGGAAGAAGGAGAAGGAGACCACATGGAAGCCATGGGACCAATCCTACAAGCAAGGATGGAGGCAGTCTGGCTATCAGGGATGGAAAGATTATGGCGGAGATTATGGAAGCCAATCCGACAGCAGCTATCATTGGTACTCGCGGAAATGATGAGATACTATGATTGCAATGAGAAGCTATCAGAATCCACACTGAGAGCATTCACACGAAACCGGCGCTACAAATTCCAATCAATTGATCCTCCTGCATATACCAGTGAGTGATCAATAGTTTCACACCATCCCGCGTGTACAAAGTGTCTTGCGCTTCATCCGCGCAAGAAACAGGATGATTCAACTTAAGAATATGGCTACGGCAAGCGCACCATATCCAATGGCTACGGTTAAAGGCCATGAAGCCAAGAATGCGATTTTGGTGTTCAGGGTCACAAGAAATTTTGTCAGTTTTGTGTTGCTTTTGCTTCGCATGTTGACCGTGTAGCATCCA